CTTCGCCATTCAGCAATCAAGCCTCGCAGGTTCGATTTCTCAACCACCTCGGCTTCCTCTTCGCCATTCAGCAATCAAGCCTCGCAGGTTCGGTTCCTCAACCACCTCGGCTCCCTCCTCACCATTCAGCATCAAAGCCTCGCAGGACCGGCTACTCAACCGCCTCGGCTCATCTTCAAAGTTCAAACACCTCGCCTACTTCATTGCTCACCCACAACAACACTTCTCAAACTCCAATCATGATATAAATATCTACACTTGGACTTGGGGGACTATTATTTGGGGTTCAAAAATTCTTTCAACTTTTACTCCATTAAAGTCCACGCATTACATTAATGATTATACTTGGACTTGGGGGACTATTGGTGCGTGTTGTCACGCCTGTCCTACCCACCTAGGCCAATGGCCCACTCATCCTGATCCACGTGGCATTCCTGCCAAGGTGGCACATATTGTCGAGGTAGGTTATATTCGAAGTGCTTCAAGCCGAGGTCCATCCGTGGAGGCTCCTCGATCCGATGTACTCTGCCGAAGTCCAACTACCAAGCCTATGACCCCGAAGCATGGAACCTGTTGAATTTAGCTGAGGTCCTCCAGTGGAAGTATTTGTCATATGGTCGAAGCCCCGAAACTGATGCGCGAGCCTCTTAACCACAAGGAGCTTCCTTCACAGTCACTTCTCCCAAGAAATCGCCTGCCCAGAGATCTTATTCGAATGACTGATGGAACATTTATCACAAGCATAAATGTCAAGTCTTGTCACTAGTATGGAGGACCTGCGCAAGCAATAAATGCGCTGCAAGCTAGCAAGTCAAGCCCCATACCTAAGAAAAGACGTTTGAACTAAAGAGATGAGGCCACGTGCCACTTCATCAAAGGGCTCCCATTTCATATGTATCACTATAAATACTTCCATTGTGTAATGTCAAAGGCTAATGCAAGAATCAATACTAAAGACTACATTTACTCAACTCTCTCTCAGTTACTTGCAATACACAAATCGAGTTTATACACTTTTACATATACATTTACGAGCACCGGTTGGTAATTATTGTACAATCGGATTACGAACAACCCGTCGGATTCCAAATGTCACCGTCCCGCGTCGTTGGGCTACTCCCACGCCCCTTTAAACCGCTCGCTTTAGACCGTCCACGTATCTTAGCGTGTTGGACATTTGCCCATGCAAGCGCGGGTGGGATCGACATCTGTTGACGCACTTTTTGGGGTCAACAATGATCGTTCACTGTAATTGTAAATAATTACTTAAATAGAAATACTTGGAATCATGGTGACCCTATTTTAATAATCAAATATTTTCTTTCATGTATTACAAGTACATTCACTTCTCAAAGAGTACTTTAATTAACTTTCTATAAGTTATTTTGGGTCCAAACTGCAAGTGCACGGTTCATTAACAAGTAGTAAAATGAAAATTTAGTTTTAACCGAAACAATGAAAATTTATGATTTTTCTAAAATTAAATTGTAACCACTTAAATTATGTATGAATGAGGACCAAAATTTATTAAAATCAATGCAAGATTTTAATTAAATAAAATTTTTATAAACATATGACAATAGAAAATGTATTAAGATCTCGAATTCCCTTATATCAATCACTTTTTAACTCTGAAATTTATAAATTTGACAATACGATTCAATTATGAAGACCAATATTCTTAATTTGTTTAATATTCTCTCTCGAGTAGAATTAAATATATATTTACATGTGATTCGACTATATTTCTATGACTGATGCGAAAATATATAAATGTATTAAAGATTTATAAATACTTAAAATTTACATAAAATATAGTGATGTATTTTTATTCTCTATCGAACTCTACGATAATTGACACTATGTGACTTATTTTCAATATTTTGAAAGTAAAATAAGCCATAATATTCATACAACTATTGTATATATAATTGTACACAAAATTAAATCCATGCCAATTATTCAAAAATCGAAAACGTGCTTTAAATGTCCACAAGAAATAAAATCATGAATTAAAGGTTCATGACATAAGTTTCTTCATAATTTTAGCACAAAGCTACTCTAGCCTAACATGATATCGAAATTAAACAAATCAAATTGAAAAAATAAATTGACGTAACGTGATTATTTTCCAAAGTGAAGCTGCCTTGCCGTGCCTTTTCTTCAAAATTCTCGTTATCTCTCAGTGTATGTCCTCCCTTTTTCCCCTTCCAATCATCCACTGGCCCTTTTTTTTCTTTTCAAAAGTTGTCGCCCTTTTCCTCCAGCAGCATTACGTGTATATATATTTTCCCCAATTCAGCTGTCGACTTTTCAATCCCCAAAGTCAGTCCCCCTTTTTCAATATATATATATATATATATATATATATATCAACATAAGCCACCAATGTTTTGATCCAGTTATAGTCCAAGTAATTCATGAATTTGATTCCAAATGTAAATCCAATTGAGGCCAATTTAGATTAATTCCCATTTATTGTAATTTTCTCTCCAACATTCCATCTTTCCCAAATAATGCAATTTAGTCCTTGAATCTATTTAGTGCAGCCCATGTCCTCTTCAATTTCTAAAGTATGGAATTTGATCCTATACTTTAAATCAAATGACCAATTAATTCTTCTTTATTTTTCAATTGTTTTGAAACAGGTCTAATAATGAAACAAAAGAAAATTAACCTAAATTTAAGTATGAATCAATACTTTGACAATATAAAAATTTAGTAATATAGCCCATATAAGTACACAAATTGCATTTATCAATAAACAATAATCTTAAAACAAGAATTAGAGTATCATGATTGAGCACACAGTTCCATGTTCTTAGTATGAGTTATATAAACTTTAGTCGGCAAGCTCTTAGTCATGTGATCTACTATCATATGATTTGTTTTGATATGCTCAATCTTCACTTCAATTTTCTTTATATGATCTTTGACAACTAGATGCTTTATGTCAATATGTTCGCTTCAACTTCAACTTTTATTATTTCTTAAAAAGAACATTACAACAAAATATTCACAACAATCGCAACAAATCTTCAAAGACTTCTCTATAGTGTAGACAATTCTTAAGCATTTGACAAAAGTTTTCAACCATAATGCTTGTGTTGTAACTTCATAGCAACCATTGAATTCTAGCTTCACGATAGATAATACAATTATAGTTTGCTTACTGCTTCTCCAAGATACAACTCCTCCAACTAGAAGCAAAATGTATCCTGAAGTAGATTTCCTTGTATTACATTTGAATATTTATATCCAATAACTTCAAGATTGTCCGAATGCTTGTATTTGAGTTTGTAGTATTCAGTTCCTTGAAAAGAGCTCATCATTTTCTTGACAGATCTCTATGTTCTATACTTAGATTACTTTGGTATCTGTCTAGTATACCAACCGCAAATACAATGTTGGGCCTAGTACAAATTTGTGTATACATCAAACTGCCAATGGGGGAAACATAATGTATATAAGCTAGGTCGTCTCTTTCCAATTCATTTAATGAACATTGATATGACTGAATCTTCCACCTTTAACATCGGATGCTACACTTGATGTACAATCATTCATCCCGAATCTTTCTAAAAGCTTTTTCAATGTTGACGTTTTGAGACAGTCCAAATGACCTTTTAGATCTTACTATGTGAGTCTCTATGCCAATGAAAATTTTAGCTAATAAATTGTTTTATATCATGTAGTAAACCCAAATCACTGCTTGTAAGTAAAGTTTTGCAAAAAATAAACTTTGCATGAGTTTGGTTAAGGGCCCTTGGCATCTTGATATCGGAAACCTCTTAATAACTTTCATAGATCATAAAAGTTGATCGTTATTAACTCACTTTTAGCCTTGTTTGGGTTCAATTTTAATAAGATTTTTGGAATAGTAATTTTTTGAAGAATATGTAGTTAAAAAAGAAGGAAATTTTTTGAATTTATGTGTAATATTATTTTATTGAAAAATGTGTGGTTGAAAAGAAAATAAATAAAAATATATTAAGATTAAAATGGAGCCCAAGCAGGAGGATTAATCGGCCTCATCTTTGATATGTGACCACTAAACAGTTAATAATGGACTGGTATTGCTGCAAATTCTTATATTCAATCACGGTAAAAATAAGAAAACATTAAAGATAATTCAGTCAAAACTCTGAATATAGAGTATGTTTAGGAGAAGCTTATCGGCCAAAACAATCATGTTATAAGTACAAAAAAGTTTGAAACAAAATTTTGACAAATAACACATGACGAAAATTAATTGAAAGATGGAAAAAGAAAGCAAAAAACAATCCAGTCATTAGCGACCATGTCGGCATCGACAAAAACTCCATCAAGAATTTCCTGTCCTCTTGGCTTTTTTCAGGCCAAAAATATCTAGCAGGAGTATCAATATCTGATGAAAAGAAAAGAAAAATGTGATACACGTGCTGATTCCCTTCATTTGGGCAAGATTGCACGGTGGTTTCTTTATACGGCAATTTTTTCACTACGAATTCACTCTTTCAAAATAAACTGCTTTTTCTTTCTCCTGAAAAAACTCGTGTGAAGTAAATAATGGACGAGTTTATCCTTTCTTCATCTTCACTACTTTCTGCATCTCAACATCAGCCAATAAGTCTCCAACAAAGGCTTCAGCCCATTCTTGACAACCAGAGAGAGCGGTGGACTTATGCCATTTTCTGGCAAACCTCCACGGATGATGAAGGATGCATCTTTTTAACATGGGGAGATGGCTTTTTCCAAGGGACCACAGTCATTAAAGAAATTCAGGGCTTGATCGTTGAAAATTATTCTGATAGCCATAGTAATATTGTGAATGATGCTGAAAGGTTCTATGTGAAGTCACTTGCTAACCCTCTCTCTCTTGGCGATGGTGTTCCAGGCAAGGCCTTTAGTACAGGCTCCGTAGTTTGGTTGAGTGGGGGAAATCAACTTCGGTTCCAAAATTGTGAAAGAGCTAGAGAGGCACAGAGCCATGGTATGCAGACCTTGGTTTGTATTCCAACTTCAAATGGAGTAGTTGAACTAGGATCAAATGTCATCATCACACAAAACTGGAGCGTGGTTCGACAAGTTAAGTGCTCGTTTGAATCAGATCTCTATGGTCTAGGTCTGGTTTCACAGAAGTACTCAAAGCTTGGTACCAATCCTGATGATATTGATGTACTAAGTCAAATTCAAGAAGATGCCCAACAGAAGATGACGGAAGCACTTCCTGTTTCCAAGATTTCAGATTCAACTTCCCAATTTAAAACACCCAAGAAGAGGGGTAGAAAGCCTAGTATCGGCAGGCCTAACGTGCCATTAATAAACCATGTGGATGCGGAGAGGCACAGAAGAGAGAAGCTGACGAGAGCGTTTTGTAAACTCCAGTCGGTGGTTCCATACGCGTCAACAATGGACAGAGCATCGTTGCTATCAGCTGCTGTATTGTACATTAAAGAGCTGAAAGAGAAAGTGGAAGAATTGGAGTCCAAGAGAATGAAGATGAAGCAACTAGAAATTGAAGTGAAGATTGTTGGCGAAGATGGTATGATCAGGGTTCAATCGGAGAATACTAATTATCCAGTTACTAGATTAATAGATGTCATTCGAGATCTTGAGTTGCAAGTCCACCACGCTAGCATGTCAACTGTTAAGAATCTCATGCTTCAAGATGTAGTTGTCAAGGTTCCTGGTGGTGGAGTAATCACAAGTGAAGATGCATTAAGAACTGCTCTAGTCACAGGATTGGAGAAATAAATTTTTTTTTATCGTATTATATTTTATTTCACTACATATGGTAGAAAAATAATGCTCAAGTAGCATAATAAAGAATCAGATGATAATGCATTATATTATTAGAGTTCACTTGTTGAGTTCAATTATATAAGTGCATTAATGGCTCATAATTGAGAGCTCAATGGAGTAGGTAAATTTATGCATCCTGTAAATTCACTGTTCTTGGTTTTATTTGATTCTGAATGTGTTTAATTCGAACTGTTTTAATCTATCAAGGTACATACAGCCAAAGATTGGACCATTTTGGGGGCCCAAAATGCAAAGACAAAAATTAATGAATTTTGATACCAATAATATAAATTTTTATTTTTTGTGTGATCAATAATTATTCTGTGGTCAGCCAACGTCATCTCATGGTGTCATCGCTTAAGTATGTGAAACGTGAATCTCGTATGCTTAGTTGTATGGCACAAATTTGAAGTCTACTTTTCTTACATGTTATTCAAAATTTCATTTTTAACATTTTGTGGTTTACAGGACCTACCAATCTCTCTCTGTCCTCCATAAAGAAACAGAAAAATTATTTCTAAGATAGAACTAAGATCAGAAAGATGATGTCGAGATATTTCCAAAAATGAGAAGAAACAACTCATATTAGGTTACTCGCACTATAGTTTTATCCATTAACGCCACGTGTAAGCCAAATGATGATGATATAGCATTAGTCTAATTAGTTGTCGGGGCGCGGAAGCTCAATTAACACACGTTGATTCCAAACCGGATTATAAAGAACGAGATTTAATGACAATATTGAAATATAATAGATCACACCACGAAAACACAAGTTTGAATTGTAAAAAAGAACACAACGGGTAAAAGCAGAGGAATGATGTTTATTAATACAAGACAGACTAACAATACTACTTCTATATTACTCTCTCTACGAATTGACCAGAAGAGCCTCGTATCTATAGGCTAACCCTAGAAAAGTTCTAAAAGATAAGAAAATATATTACAATTAGGAGACCTAATTTCAACAAGATTTTGTAGGGATGACAATTTGAACCGTCAAAATCGAAAATTGCAGTTAACCAAAACCGAATGGGGCGAAAAAAATCGAATCGATGGTGCAATAGGACGGATATAGTTTTTATTTTAATGAACTGGTTCGTAGCAGTGCGGGTATGGTATTTACGCCGTCGAACCAATTACCGCTAAAAAAAAAAAACAAACAAAAAAAAATAATTGAATTGATTATTGGGATTTACACTACTTTTCTATTTAGTCCAAAACAAAATCCTCCCCATTACATCTACATGACTCAGCCGGTCAACCTACTTACCATTACCCCATAATAATAGCATTAGTATGATAGTATATAAATGCAAACTCTACTCTCTACAAGCTACAAACTCACGCACAGCTCCTTTTATTGTTAGTTTTTTTCTATTGTGTGTAGAAAATTCTACTTCTTCATCATACTCTAGAGCTTGTGCAACGTTTAGCGAGAAGGACGAAGAGGTACATTTTTTTAAATTTAAATCTTAGTTAAGACCATTCTGGAATAGGTAGTATCGTTGCATTCTCTACTTACATTTCTTATTTACTATACAGGAATCAATTTTGAGTGTTGATTTATACTAGTAAGACTTATGGAGAAGAATGAATCAAGTAATTTCGATGCATAATAATTAAGAATGGAGGAAAAGTTTAGTATTGTTATATCTATAATGTTGTTTGTTAAATTTGTATTTTACAATTGAAAATTGGGATAATGTTTTCATTTTCGTTTGGAATATTGTATTTTTGTTTTCATTGACTTTTTTCATAAATTATTTTATATCAATTTGACGGATGAACCTATAAAAAATAATTTATTTTCGTTGTTATTAACCGAACCAAGATACAAACCGAACCGAACCGATTTACGTGGTTATGGTGCGGTCATGTTATGATCAAAAAATTGGTGGTGCGGTTATGGTTTTGGCCGAACCGACCCATAACCAAACTGTTGCCAACCCTAGGATTTTGTTTCCTTAAACTCTAGATTAATATTCTCCTAATCCAAGTTAAATACGCCTCTTCAAAAGGCTCCTATTTGAGTTATACTCCTAACAATTTTCATCTTGACTCAAATTTCGGTCCTATGAACGAAATTCCTAGATTTCAAATTCATTTGCATCGAAATTAACTAGCCGAATCTCCTCAACATAGTAACCACTCTATATAAGCCAAACACTCGTCCTCTGCCCAGCTTCCACAACCGACACCCGAACCCAATCCCCAGGGTTCCCAATTCCACCAAGAAATTAATGTAGATCACACAAGGTTGAAGTACACCCTGTAGCAAGAACCAAACCAAATGCTTGATCAGAGGCCCATTGCTGGAACTATCGCCTTTAACATCCCCACAAGCATCCCAGACATTGTTGACACCACGGTACCTACGCTCAATGAGTCCTACCCCAGCAACTGAACACAATGTACTTGCTGAAATTGGTGGCAAAGCGAAACCACCAACGCTCTTCCTAGCAGTTTTCTGAATCGACTCAGAGCCCAACACAAGAGGTACTGTACCAAACTGAACTTCCACCACGGTACTAAACTTGTCCAAATATCTCCTTTTAACTATTTTTGTACTCACTTGCAAAATATACAACTGAGATCTTTTCCATCCCTCCATTACAACTCGGACTCCCTTTCGGACCTTCCAGACTCCACTTCCTTTAGAGAATTTATACCCTTTTGCATCCAAGGTACTTAGAGAAAAGAATTCATTTTCAGGTCAGGAACATGTCGAACCTGATCAATTATTTTAAATATTCCATCCCGCAGCCTCAATCTGACTCGATCGATCACAGCAATGCAATAAGATTGGTTGTTTCCCATTATAAATCCACCTTGCTAAACATCTTCATATGTCTGAAATAAATTCCTATCGGAACACATATAGTGCGAACATGCTGAATCAAGAATCCACTCCTTGTCAGGCTTAGATTCCACATCAGATACCACGATCAACATCACCTCTTCGCTATCTGAACAATTCTCAACTATATTAGTTTCGTTTGAATTCAAAGGTTACACCCCACGATTTACAGCTAAATCACCTTTAGTTTGCAATATATCGCAATCCTTCTGAATATGTCCCTTCCTTTTGTAGTAGTAACATGTCACATTGCTAAATCTAACTCTCGATTTGCCTCTTCGTCGACCACCATGAGATACAAGAGCTTCTCCATCCCTTGATGTAATTCCAACCAAATGCTTCATTTTCTCCTTTGAGTGCAAAGCATCATAGACATCTTCTATAGTCAAAGTACCTCGACTATACAAGATAGTATCCCGAAACGACGCATAAGACTCAGGCAGCGAACACAACAGGATCAAGGCAAGATCATTTTCATCGCACTTAACCTTTAACGTTTCCAGATCTGCAACTATTTTCTTGAACACAGCAACATGGTTTTCCAACGACTCTTCTTTCGCTATGCGATGTGAATATAACTTCTACTTGAGAGCCAGTTTACTTGTAAGACTCTTAGTCATACACAACTACTCTAATTTCAACCACAAAGCAGCCGCAATTTTCTCCTTCAAGACATCTTGCAGAATATTGTTGAACAGATGAAGATGAATCAATGAAACAGCCTCCGATCCTTCTATTGTTTCTCCTCTGTTGTCCAATCAGCTGGTATCTTCTCAATACCGAGCAATGCATCGTCCAAATCCAATTGTGCCAAAATAGCCTCATCTTTACTTACCACTACAAGAACCTTGTATTCTGATCTAACAACGGAACATCATATTTCAATCCAGCCATCTCGAAAGAATCTTTATCAATCAATAGAAAATCAACAACCTTGCTCTGATACCACTTGTCGGGGCGCAGAAGCTCCAATAACACACGTTGATTTCAAACCGGATTATAAAGAACGAGATTTAATGACAATATTGAAGTATACTAGATCACACCACGAAAACACAAGATTGAATTTGTAAAGAAAGAACACAAAGGGTAAACACAGAAGAACGATATTTATTAATTCAATAGTATGGAGAATACAAGACAGACTAGCAATACTACTTCTATGTTAATCTCTCTATGAATTGACCAGAGGAACCTCGTATTTATAGGCCAACCCTAGAAGAGTCCTAAAAGGCAAGAAAATATATTACAATTAGGAGACCCAATTTCAACATGATTTTATTTTCTTATTCAACTTAATTTCCTTAAACCCTAGGTTAATATTCTCCTAGTTTAAGTCGAATACACTTCTTCGAAAGATTTCTATTTGAGTCATACTCCTAACATTAGCCGCACTTGATAAGTTCAATATGAATAATGTAACATTGCATTGAAATGAATATTTCATTTCATGTTACTTAATTGCTACGTAAACGGGTGTTTAACACTTACTTAAAAAAGAAAGCCTTGTTGGGGATCAGGCTTCTACTTTTATAAGGTGAAAAAAAAAATTCTAGTTTCTCCATGAGCATGCACCAACCACAAGCAATTCGTTACAGTTGAGGTGCTTCGTCGAACTATCTAAAGTGCCTTGCCAGACCCATAAGGTCACTCACCCTTGATGAGTAAGGGCCCCCATCAATGGCTCGTTCATAGGCGAACCACAAAGCTAGGCGTAGTGGACCCAAACCTCAACTGCCTTGCTGGCGAAAGCAAAAGAAAACCCCTATGCTTCTCGACCCTTATTTTGACAGTTGAGGCAGGGGCTTGTGAGAATTTTTCAGATACGGTAAAAATCTTGCGAGCCTTTATTCCCGCTGCTAGATTTTTCTTATTTAGAGGAATCAGGGAACGATGGGAGATTCTTAGCATAGGGCCCACTGCACGTATACAATTACTATTAGATATAAAAACGACAAATTCAATGATTGATGACATGTAGATTTGAAGGTCACAAAAATCCTCATCTAAATTTCCTATAAATAGCCCAAACTCCATTAAAAAAAAAAAAAAAGGTATGCAATATCAAACCGTAGTGAAAACTCTGCTAATTTATTTATCCCACACTCAATCATACTTTTCTGGAAACTCATTTGATCATTGGATCACCCCTTGGCACGATGTCCTTTGCATGCTAACTGTATCCAAATGTGCAAGTAACCAACAGTTGGATGGAGAGGTAACAAGTTGTCTGTTAACAACGGAATCATTCAGATTTGGAGGTTACCAAAACTATTGTTCAATTCAACCAAGAATAAGAGTAGTTTATATTCCTGTGTGAATAACAATGATAAAATATCCAGTGTGAATAGGCATTCAATTTGTCAAAATCAAATTTTATTGATAAAATTGCATTCTTTGGGTCATTGGTTCTTTGAGTCTTTATTCTACCGGCTATTTTTTTTCACTTAACAAATGAGTCTTCAAACGAACACATTTGGGAGGTGATTAAAATCGATAGAAATTATTAAGAAATAATAAATAAGTAGACAATACTGTATGGAGAATTACTCGAATTCACTCTACTATTCACCAAATTTTGAAATGTGAATAAGCGTTAAATCAACCATAAGTTTATTTTGTTTTTTTAGTGTTCCAAACCCTTTTGGCTTTCTATGCAGGTCATTTCTGATTGAGACATTCAAAAACCATTATAGTCACGTTTAACGATTATGGTCTTAGATGTTTTGAATTTACATACTTTTACCCTTTTTGATAAATAGTATTTTTCTAAATAATAAAATTGATAATAGAACTCAGATCAAGGGATAATACATTATGCCAAGACCTTAAACCTTAAATTCGATAGAGAATCCACCCAAGATGATGGTGGTAGCTTATAGATTACTTAGGATTGTTTTAAAATTTGTCTTCAAGTTAAAATAGATAAATTTTGTTGAACAATGTCTACTTTCCCTGGCATCTAATGTCTAAATTATCTCATCTTCTTGTCCAACGCTTCACTCCTCACCTCTAGTACGGTCGATACCGCCTTTTATGATTACTATCATCATTGCTACTGTGTGTTCCTGGTGCGACGATCCCCTTATCATTCATCCAGGGCCTGACTTGTGGGATTTGTATTCCTGGCTGCTGACTGTACAAAAACATACGTTGTTTAGAGAAATTACAAGTTTTGTCTTCACAGGCAAACGTTAACATTTAAGAAACTCACAGAACATAGCCAATTCGACCATCTGATAGAACCATAGGTACCATTTGCATCCCTTCTGGCATTGGTCCTCTTCCATAATTCATAGGCTGCTGAATTGTCAAGTGTCCAAGTTCGTAATATGAAATAATTTTGAGAAAGATGATTAACAGAAAAGATGGACAACCAAGATGTAACCACCTACCTGCTGAAATCCGGGTGCTGCGCCATATCCAGCCGCTATTGAGGCATAAGGACTAACAGGTATTCCAGCATATCCTAGATGATTATTATTATTAGACACTGGTGTGGAGTTTTGAGGATTAGCCACATTAAACTTCTTCTGCATCTGAGGCTTTGCAAGAACGACAGCTAACACCTGACCTGCAGTTCATACAGAACAATATAATTTGGCTGGAAAATTGATACATAAAGATTGGTTAAAAAAGAAAAGAAGAAAACAAATCTAACTGAATGCAAGAATTATTGGTTCCTATACATCAGAGATAGGATTACCCATCAAAGCTAATAAGGAAATAACCTCTCCTAATATCTCAAAGTAAAATGTATATGTTGTGAGAAAAATGAAGATAAAATCACAGAATATGTAAGCCTCTATCAATGCTTTTGTCTACTGCAGATTGTGTAGCTAAGTAATTATGGTTTCATTCACTGCGAGAAGTAAAATCAAGTATGTCCCTATTCATGCATTCCATGGCTATGGATGAAGAAAAATGGCCAGAAAAACTCCTAGTGAAAATGTTGTTTGACCAAAGTTGCAAGTAATTGTTATCTTCTGTTTCCACAGTGACAACAAGATGAGACAGTAATACTTGAGGTAAAACATAATGATTATAAGGGGATAAAACTTGAGACGGTTGATGGGTATCAGTTCCTCTTTTATATATATATATATAGGTGGCCCTTTTGGTGGCTAGTTTTGGGTGTGACAAAAATGGATATGTGTAAGATACAAGCGGTGCATTATTGGAACAAAGAAATTGATCTGAGTTGCAATGAATAATGGAAGTAGATATCAGTATAAAAATTCTCAGCGTCCACAATCCCATTCAAGTCCTTGATGAAATAGAGAAACAGCAATTAAAAGGCCATACACAACGGAAGTATTATCTTTAGTTCCATTCGTTGCAAGTATTATTTTGGGAAAAAGTACAAGGCAGGCAAAGGCAGTTTCTTTAGAAGAAATTAAGATTTTACTGTATGATTGTCTCATGAGTTTAAGATGTTAAATCAAGTCTTATCCAACGATCACCAGCAGCTATCACTGAAGTGTTAACGAATGACATGAAAGCACCTGTTACTAAAAACATGAACTGATGCAGAATAGTCAAGGGGAGTTTTTTCTTTGTATATCATAATAAGTTTATTATGATAATTTATATCAGTGAAGAGAGAGGAACACACCATTAATTTCATAAGTTTCTGTGTTTTCAATGGCTTTCAATGCACTTGACCTTTCTGCATAGTGGACAAACCCAAAATCTCTTTTTCCACCACATTTTGATGGTGGCATAACAACTTTCGTGACTTCCCCATGGCGTTGGAAGAGCGACTTTAGTTGCTCAATTGGAGTATTTTCAGGTATATATTTCACATAAAGAGCCTTGACCTGTAAAAACATCAAGAAGGTTATAAATATAATCGCGCAACAGGTATTATGCAATATTTTTTACAACAAAACAAGAAGAAATGGAATCCTCAAATTTTGCCGCTAGTGTCCCACAAAAAGTAACTGTTGCCTGAAATTCTTTAAAAATATTAAATCAAGGTTTATCGCAAGAATAAATTTTAGCAAGAGAAACAGGCAAGTTTGAGATGAAACATTTTCAAAAGCTCAAAGCAGGTCAGACAAAAAGGCAAGTCCACAACTGTCAAGGAGAGAAGGGAAACAACCTAAAACACAGTCAAACGAAGAACCAAGCTCGTAGAAGGAGGGGAAAAAGGGGAAGAGAGGGAGAAAGAGAAGAAGAGGGGGAGATAGGGAGATGAATCAGACGAACAGAGGAGGAACAATTATTACGGAATGTTTACTCAATAATCAAGTCTAACTACTACAATGTATAAAGGGTTTCAACTTATCTAATTTTAGTAGGAAATAATGAATAAAATACTAGAAAATCTATAATTTTCCAAAAATAAGAATCTAAACTTTGAAAGTCTTCATATAATATATTTAACTATATCTATTAGGAAATTTATGTCAGAAGAATAATTTGAATCAAGTGCCAGACTTGCAGATTTCCAAC